TCGCGACCGTCTCGCGTTCCTACTGGTGCAACAGGAAGGATTTGTGTGAGAGGACTTCCTGTCTTCGATGGATATCTAACGTCCACTGGTATTGATAGAAGCGCTTTCGATGCAGCGGGATGGTTTGATACAGGGGACCTTGGCCGCATTGATGAAGCAGGATACCTCTACATCACTGGGAGAAGCAAAGAAGTCATTAACCGCGGCGGGGAGATAATTTCTCCATTGGAAGTAGAGGATGCTATCATTTCAGCCTCCGGGGATCCCTCATCTGTTATCTTTGGCCGCGTGACAGAAACCATGGTGTTTTCTACACCCCATGATGTATTACAAGAGGTTGTCGGTGCTGTTATTGTGACTCCCGCTGGACGCAAAAGACCCGATCTTCGGCAAATACATGACGCGTCGAAAGACCGCCTGGACCAACCCAAATGGCCCACAATCCTGGTCTATATGGATAATATACCAAAAGCTCACAACAAACTCCGCCGCATACAACTCAGTCGCCGATTAGGCCTAGAGACACTTACAGACGATACCTTGCCATCTGATTGTCACTACGAAGCAATCTGCCCTCCACCGGAAACTTCGTTAGATGTCTTAATTGATCAAAGGAGATGTGCTATACAGCATGAAGTGACGAAAGCACATCTTTCCGAGATCTCTGGGATATCAAATGTTTTGATCCGGACAAACCCAATAGACGGGTACCTTACGGCTGTCTTATTTAATGACATTCCGAATCAACTACTCCCTCATGAGATATCAAAACATCTTCGCGTTCTCGTTGATGGATACCTTGTTCCTAGTAGTATCCGGGTCGTTGACGGACCTGCACCGGTAGACTCCGCAGACAACATTGATGAAGCTGCAGTAGATGCCATAATTCGCTCTCAGGCCCAATCTTCCACTTCACCAATTGAACAAAGGGTTTGCGGTCTCTTTGCCGATGCTCTACGATTAACGCTAGGAGACGTGACTCCTACTACGGACTTCTTTCTAGCTGGTGGGGATAGCTTAACGGCTGGACGTCTTGTCTCTCGAATTCGTCAAGAATTCAGTGTTCGACTTGCTAGCGACGTACTATTTCGGCACAGTACAGTTTCTGCAATAAGCATTGTCGTCGAAGATGCTATGGTCCAGCCGAAAGCTGAAGAGAAGAAGTCGGAAGATCTCCCTGGTTGCTTAGAGACTTACAGGTCCACAAACCCAGCCATCCTTCTACTCAACTTGATACCCCTAGGTGTTTTCTCACCAATACTACAAACGCTGCGATGGTCCATGTTTGTGTATATTCTAATTCAAACTTTCCATTGGCAAATCCGTGACACTGTTATTGGTCGGCTTTTCCTCATCCTTTTATCCGGGGTGGTATCTCGACAAGTGATGCATGTTTTCTCTCCTCTTCTGGGTATTGCATTCAAATGGCTACTCATTGGTCGATACCGAGCTGGTATATATCCCATGTGGGGACCATATCATTCTCGGTGGTGGTTGACACAAAAGGTTCTACAAGTGTGTGGAAAGGTAAAGCTGCTCTTATGATACTGATTTTACTATGTTAAGATACCTGCGGGCATATGCTGACTGTCTAACTATGAATAGGGTATCTTTGGCCACTTCGGCTTCACTAGAGTCTTATACTACCGCGCTCTTGGGGCTCGTATTGGCCGTAACGTTCGCATTCATCCGCAGGCTTCTCTTGGGGAATACGACCTAATTGAAATCGGTGATAATGTCGTGCTTGATGACTGTTCATGCAGGCCCTTTTCTGCAGAGCGGAATACGTCTATGCTACTACAGCCAATTCTTATCGGCGCGGACTGTACTGTGGGCCTCAAGGCAGTCATTGCCTCTGGCACAGACCTTCCCCAGGGAGCTTGTTTAGGGCCAAATACATCTAGCTGGGAAATGGAGGATGCACAAGAGTCAAATCGCGAGCTAGCGTCTGCACAGATCCCACAACCACACTGGATTTGGTATGTACTAGTTGTGGGACCCCTGTCTTTGCTAGTATCCTTCGTCTCTCGATTACCAGCTATAGTAGCCTTCTTCCCCGTGGTTATGAAATACCGACAAGTTGAAAATGACATGCTCCGTCAACAGTTACTCTGGTTTGTGAGTCCATCACGTATTGGATATTATGCTCTAGTGGTACTCGCAGGGGCTGTTGTCGGTCCGTTCTCTTGGTTCCTTGCTGTATACCTTGTTAAGCTGGGATTGGACTTAGTCTGTGGTCGACCACGGCCTGGTCCATACAATCTTCATTCCCAGAGACAGATGGTCCGAAGCGCCGTGTTGGATTCCATTATCCCACGAGGAGACATATCTCGTTTGACTCGTATTATAGGGACACACTATGAACTCGTCTCTATTGCAGTTAGAATGCTCGGTGGACGTGTCGGTAAACGAGTTTACTGGCCAGGCACTGGAATTGCAATGGTCCAAGATTACGATCTCCTGGAGATTGGCAACGATGTCGTATTCGGATCCCGATCTACTTTTGTTACCTCTGACGGGATAGGGAGGGACCGCATAGTCATTGGGGATGGAGCATTTGTGGGAGACCACGTTGTTGCTCTACCTGGAGCTACGGTTGGAAAACGCACGACAATTGGGTCAGGGGCGCTGCTACGTCGAAACGGTTCATACCCAGACAATACAACCTGGACTGGAAGCAAGCATGGGGATGCGATACAATTTCCCCAGAATAATTCTCCTCGAAACCAAAGCCAAGAAAGTTTGGATAAAATGGACCTAAAAAATGACGACAACGATACGATATCGCCGTTTGGACGAGCATTTTACAAGGGGCAGGCAAGTTACTATGTGCTCGGGATCGGGCCGATTGTCGCATACTCTACCTTGGCTGCAGCTATCGGGGCCGTGTACTCCGCTTCCAGTATCCTTACAGGTTTACTGGTTGTCTCTCGGTTGGTAAGGATGGATCATATGATGGCTGGACGACATTGGTGGAGGCCTTTCATATTTTACGCAGCGTTCACCGCGGTTGTGGGAGTGGTGACTCTAGTGCAGGCCGCTATAGCCATGGGAATCAAAATAGCTGCCAAATGGATAATCCTTGGACGGCGACGGGAAGGATTTTATCCATGGGACCGAAGCAGCTACTGCCAGCGCTGGCAAATTCTCCTCACTATCGAGAGAATTTTCACCGGGTATTCTGGACGTATGAATGCGATGGTTTTACTGACTGGGACGGCATATATGGTTCAATACTACCGAGCACTTGGGGCCACAATAGGTGCTGACTGCGCATTAGCAGCCAGCGGTGAGGCAGACTTACTAATGACGGAGCCCGACCTGGTGACTTTAGGAAACCGAGTTACTATTGACCATGCCAGTTTGGTGGGCCATTTAAACACCAGGGGAGATTTTGAGCTTCACCCGTTGCAGGTGGGAAGCCGGAGTGTTCTCAGAACCAAGTCAAGACTGTTGTCAGGAGCATCGGTGGGAGAGGATGCGTGCTTGCTGGAACATACCCTAGTTCTGTCGGGAGACCATATAGATGATGGCTGTACGGTTCAGGGCTGGCCCGCCGAACCCTTCATGGATTCGCGGGTAGGGCATTCCTTTCATCTGCCATAATTTAAGCAGTATTGTAACATATTTAATCAGGCGGAAAACGGGCATATATGTATATAAGTAAATATTGTAATACAACTTGAGATTTAGAATGTAAATAAACTGAACAAATGTGACATTTGTTTATGGCAGAAGAGTAAGGAATAGAGTAAAATTTACTCCAATCTATTTCCTGGGATATAGAAGCATGGAATGGACGATATAAAAGTCGAGCAGTAGAAGAATCTACTGGGATGCGGAAAGGGCAGTGTGAATTGGCTCGTCAGTTTATTGGCACCTTTCAGCCGAAGGTTTGGTGTATTTCAAGATAGCCATAGGCCGACTAAGTAGTAGGGTTTTGAGCATGCGATCTAGTAGCTCGGGCTCATAACTGAGTGTCCCCTTAAAACAAGTTTCGGTAGCCGCCGGAGTTTGGTTATGTGTGCAAGAGGCGCAACCTCCAAGGCCAATCAACATCAGCAGACAGCTGTCTAAACTTCTGCTACGGCAGCCTCCCTTGAAGCTCGGTGCAATGGAAAGGAGACCATCTATCCGAGGACCAGTAGTAACGTCTGAATTAACACTTGGCTTCTCTGTAGTTATGTGACGCTGGCTGGCTTCCTATGCGCCCAAGCTGGCCTGTATTCTCTGTCAGTGGCTTGCTCAAGGTCTGGCTAGCGAGCGAGCACCAAACCTGCAAATGCCGCGGCTTTCTGGAGGGTCCTGGGACATGGATATGCTGAATGCGGCCGTCTCCATCTTGTGATAGCAGCAGTTGTAACCGTAGCAGTTAACTAGCAGCAGTTGCTGGTTGTTGCAGTTGTTGTTGTTGTTGTTGTTGAAGCTGGGAGGAAAAGAAAGAAGAAAAACTGCGCAAGTGGTCGCTGTCGTCCGACGGGCGGGTTATGACGCTTTTTTTTGCTTTCGGCGACAACTTCAGCTTCTTCTCTTTTTCATGCTCGCTCAGCCTCTTGCATACACACGCTTTCTCTAGCCCTCACCTTGCCCAACGTACAGCCAGACGGCGTTGCTGTACCCTTCATCACACGCGACAGAGGACTCTGGGTGACGGTTCTTTAGCGGGGACCCTTGGAAGGGCTGTCTGGACACGGCCAGAAGGGGCTTTACCGCTTCATTCAGTGCGTTGTTTCAAGTAAGTTAAGCCCAGGTTCAGCTCTCCATATCCCCTCCCGGGGCCCTGTCTGCTGCAGTCTTGGAGATTATCAGCTCTCCAGCGGCTTGACAGCCAGTCTGGGGACTCTCACTTTGGTATACGTGATAAATAGGTCGGCTTGATGGTTGACTGTATCGCTGACTCTGCTGCTAGGTTGGACCGCTTGCTAAGAGGAGGCATCTAGGCACCCTAGACATGCTTCTCTGACCTGCTTTCAACTCCATAAAACCACCTTCCAGCCGATATGGGGCAGGCCGGCTCTTCTCAAAGAACATCGCCAGGAACTACGAACGACGGAGACCAGCCACGATACAGTTACGGCAGCCTCGGCAGCACCAGCAACAATAATAGTAGTAGTAGTAATGGCTTTCCAACTCCACCGACTTCTACTCGCGAGAGAATGAGAAATAGCGCACATGTCCCTTCCTGGGCACGCTCCCCGGACAACAGTCGACATGAATCTCGGAGCAACACTTCCTCGTGGGTTCCGGATGGCTCCTTGGAGGAATTCCCTGCACCAGCTGGGTCTGTTACTCGAAGCAGCAGCGCCTCAGGCAACAGCAGGCAGTCTCGGATGTCTCGTCTGGGTACGAGAATACTTCCAAACTCCGTCTTGAGAAATCTACTCAACAGCGGGGAGGAGACTCTAGCAGAAGGAAGAGCGCACCGAGACGGACTCTTGTCCAGGAGCTCAGCACGATCAGACTCACCACAACCTACGCCACATCTTCCATCATTTAGAACCCTTAGCACCCGGGGAATAGCGCGGAGGAGATCGATTCGCGGGCCATACGCCCTCCCGAGAGGGGAATCGGCCTTGTTACCTGATTCTCCGCCCAACCCGACTTTCTTAGAGAGCCCGTCCAACTCCCGAATTACAGATTCTCCCCGTCTTTCTTGGAGGTATCGAACAAGGTTGAGTCACGTCCGACATTCAATATCGGCCCCGATATCACACATGTTTAATCCGGCTTATCCAAGCCAGGAAACCTCACCCGCTCCAACGCGACCCTCCCGTGCTGGACTCTCTGATGATTCAGACAGCCCACTAAACCTTCCCAGCAGCACCGAGCCAAATATGAATGTCGATATGGATGTTGACGAGGCTCATGGACCCGATGATTCGGACTCGAGGCCCAGATCTGGCCCAAGTCCGACCCCTGGCTACCACAACGCCTCCAACCAAAGACATTCGACTATCCGATCTCGAGCAACAAGGTTACTAAGGCGAGAGGAGCAAACGCCACTCTCTCGCGTCCTGCAACTTGCTGCAACGGCAATCGCTGCCCAGCTTTCCGGTAATACAAGTCCAGCGGTACCTAGCATCCAATCCGTTGGCGCAGACGGCTTTGACGGTCCCTTGGAATCACTCATGAGCGGCTTACAGCAGGTCTCAGCTAACCAGGAGACTATAAGTAACCTTGATGCTCCCCACGATCCAAACGTCCCCCATGTGAACTTCTTAAGGGTGTTCAGGTTCGTAAACCAGGACAGCCCTTCTCAGCAAAACTCAAGTGAAGGGAGTGAGGACAATACCGACCAGATGGATATTGACGGGCAAGGCTCAACAGACGGGCATCAAGAACGACGTTTGCTCACTTTAGTCGTTGTTGGTGTGAGAGCTGTACCACCCGCAAACGGAGCTGCGGGAGACGCTACCACCAACAACCGCCTAAATGTAGAATCCCTCCTCCGATTACCGCTTCTGGCCCCAGGTAACTTCCTCCGCAATGATAGAAATGGCAGTAACTTTTTACGACGCTCAGATGGCCGTTCAAGATTCTCCCCGCGACGTTATTCAGTTGGAGGCAGCACTTTCCCAGCAAACTACGATAGCCAGCGTCATTTCAGATCTCAGAATTCTTCCAGGCGACCCTCTGATGTTGGATCCTCGAGTGACTTAGCCAGCTCGCTTCCAACTATTCTCTCTGACAGCCCCCAAGGCCCAAACCCGCCTCCATCCACGCCAGCAGAAGCGGGGTTATCGAGGGTGTCCTCCGCCGTCAACACCCCAAGCAGGCGGCCTTCATCTGCATCAGCTATTCTTCCCCAGCTTAATGAGGATGGAACTGGAGAGTCAGGTGACCCATTGGAAGAACACCCAATGGGCTTTAACCCTGCAAGACAACGCCGTAGAAGCGATTCAGAGGCTGCTCGTCACCGTGGGCTGGGCTCCGGTGCTGCGCGAAGAAATGGAGTAGTAGAACCTGATGACCCTTCTCCATCTGGAGGCCGAAGCTGGCTAATTTACGTTGTTGGAACCAATCTGGCTGAGAATCACCCAGCATTTGCTGCGCCCAGCCTGTTTACAGATGTATCTTCATCCGTACCCCTCCCTGTTTTCTGTAAATGAGCGTGGACTAATGCACATTCTAGAACCCGACATATGAGGACATGATACTCTTGTCGTCCTTACTGGGCCCAGCCAAGCCTCCTGTTGCAACACAGGACGAGATAGCTTCCGCAGGCGGCCTATATCGTCTTGTAGAGTACTCCGGGGCTCTGGTTGCAGAAATAATCGGCGAAGAAACTCGGGAGAACATTCCAATAGCTGAGAATGATCGTTGTCTCATATGTTTATGTGACTATGAAGCTGCCGAGGAAGTGAGAATATTGAATAAATGCAAACACGTTTACCATCGCGAGTGCATTGATGAGGTACGTTCTCATTTACTAATGTTATAGAATCAAATGCTAATTCATCTCTAACTAGTGGCTGACAACGGGGCGAAATTCCTGTCCTTTGTGCCGAGGTGAGGGTGTCTCTAACTCCAGCAATGATACTGGTAGTGAGGCGGTGTCGACATCCTAACCTTGTTCTCGCTATCGAGATACTTTACCCATACTACTCGCAAAGCGGCTTTTCCCATCAATGGCGACGTCCTATGTTCTTGCAAGGAAAATTCATCTCTAATATCATGGCCTGGGGTCATGAACACGTCATAATTCTATTCCCCTTTGTATTCTTTTATGCCTTGCCCGCAGAAGATACTTTTCGGCGCCAACCTTTTACCGTTGGTCTGTATCTATTTCATCCCTTGCTTTATTTCTTTATTATTGTTTCTCCTCTACTTCTTGCATATTATTCCTTCGCGGCACCCCTTTCCCCTTTCTTAATATGTGAATGTGATACTTCTCCAGCCTCAAAGCCTGTTTCTGCCCATTCAATTATCTCGTTTATCGCATACGTCTAAAACTTGCTCCTTTTTTGCTTTCTTGTCTCCTTTTGCCCTACAGCAAGCTTTATTCGGCGTTTATCTGAGGGATCATCATACAGCAAAAGGGATCGTGGGGATATGGGATGGAGCTCATAATAATAAATCGGATCATGGTTGGGAAAGGATGGATGGACTGGTGGGCTCATTTCTTAATGCGTTTCTATCCCTTTCAGCTCCTTTACGAACTCTTTCATACCTATATTTATACCTATTTACTTATGAAATCACAAATTACTTGACATACTTCTTGAATTCGACCAGATATCTCCGGGCCTAGGCTCATGAGAAACCGGTATATATTGTTTTCCACATTGTTTAGAATAATGGCATAAGTCCTGTAACGAGTTACTACCTAACTAGGAGCAAACATATTTGTGGAGTATAGTGTAAAGAAATATGACATGCTTCAAGTTTCTGTACTTGACAAGCGTTGAGTGGGTATATAATATGATAGAAAATTTTCAATAATACAATATGACCGCCCACCGGTGTGACTGAAAGCACTAGGAAATAGTCAACTGTGCTGATAATACAGAACTCCTAACTCTGCAAAATAAAGCCCCTGGTATATCGTAACGAGTTGGCACGCTGCGTACGAAAGCGTTAAACTTAAGAGCCCCGACGACATTAGGGTATTTGCCGCTTTAGAACACCCAATCCTCCAGCTTTCATATCTTCAAGGCGGTTCTTAATAGCATTCCCCTCTGCTTCAACAGCATCATGACGTCTCTTGATTTCTGCTTCGAAAATAGCGGCCACGTCCCGTCTAGCTTGGCGAACCTCTTTAGATTTCTGTAGCATTTGACAAAATTCATCAACCAGCAGATCTCCGCATTCTTCCCATTCCGATATAGTCACGGAGGAAAAGAATACACGACGCTGATCATCTGTCAAATTTTTCAGGCGGAGGAGTTTGTCTTTTAGTGATAGCTGTGAATCATGCTGGAAGAGGGGTTGGACAGGAGTTGGGTTAAAGTCAAAGCTCTCCGCTTGGAGATCTGAGAATGCTTTCGTTTCCAGGATGTTAGGTGGGTAGTCGGATATAAAGTTTGAGTAAGGGCGCTTGGATGAAATAGCTGACACCGTAGAGAGATGAGGTGAGTGTAGGGAGACATGTTCTTCATGACGAGCCATTTCTTCAAATCCGTCATCATCGGAGTAGTCCACGGCGCTGAGATCGGTTGCTGTATCAAAGGCTCCCCGGTTATGAGCCGAGGACTGATCGTCAACAGAATGATGCAGCTCTTGGTCAACCAAATTTTCCTCACTAGATAGGCTGATATTAGACGTTGTGACTATTACATTGAAATAAACGTCAAAAATAAGAAGCAAATATTACACTCACACTTCTTGATTTGGCTCCTCAGCATGGCCAGAATATGGGTCGGGCGCAGCAAAATGAGGCCTTGCGGCAAACCTATTTCTTGTTGACAATCTTTGGGCTACTGGTCTGGGGGTGATTTTAGGGACTTCGAAGTGGTTGTTCTGCGGAGGTTGGGTTGTCGATGACGCTCCATTTGGATGGCTGTCCCTGCCAATGGGAGCTTGGTACAGATTTTGAGAGTTTGGGTGAGAAGTGCCTTCTCCATCCACATTTCTGTTTGGTGAAGAAGTATCTTCTCTTAGGATTGCCTCAATCTTTTGCCAGCTTAGGGTTTCTTTTGTGGAATGGGCATTGTTGGCCTCCCAGCCGGAATCATGCTCTCGATGGTCGTTTCCTGCCTGTTCTCTAAATCCTTCTTGCCCCTGATGTGCTTGGTCATAGTCATTTGTCCCTTGCATATTCCCCTCTTCATCAGAGTCAAGTTCCTTGATTCTCTCAGCAATAGACTTATAGCCGCCGTTGTTTTGGGCCACAGCTGTGCCTGGGCGGCTGGTATCTTCATGTGCATAATAAGGATTCCCCGCAACAGATCCTGCTTCTGTGTCTCGCAAGACGCTAAAAGTGGTAGTAGAATCATCAACACCCTCAAGGTCGGTATCAAAAATGTCCCCGGGTCCTTCGTTTTGATTTGCAGTATTAACGTCTTGTGGTGGCTTGCCAGGCAGTCCATTGGACGTTGTGTTTTCTGGAAGTGAATTTCTGTGCTCCTTGTTAATAGAAGGCCGGTTGAACCCATGTAATCCACCCAACGGAGCAGGCGGTAGCTTTATTTTGGCCAGCTCAACTTGGCGCTCTCTGGAATTTTGAACTGGCTTAGGGAGCCTCTTCTCTATCCCATTTGAATCCCTGCCCCCTTGGACAAAATCACTGACTCTCATGATTCTGGGCTAAAGTGTTTTATATTTGAAGGTAACGGCTCGCTGTCCTAATATCCTTCGACATCAAGATTCAATATAAACCCTGGGTGGTGTGTCATTGATTATTGATGTCCCTGTGATGTTGAAATTAAGCTCAAAAAGAGGTACATTTTAGGTTTGTCACATGATGGTCTTTATTTTCAGCTACATCTGGAGGATTGCACGAACATACATATCTACTGGAAAGGAAGTATTTTAATTAATTGGGGCGATGATACGGCGTGTCAGCGCATGATTCAATCTTTATATCGGATGCGTTTACAAGGGGGTAACGACAGAGCTTTGGTTCCGTTCGAATCTAGCCTGCGCTTTGTTGAAGAATGACTTTGCTTTCTCGAACTCCGCAAGTCTTTTCTCCTTTGCTACATCGATTTCGATCCTCAGTATCTTGGCGTTCAGACGTGCGTTTTCACCATCACCATCATCAACTTGAAGACTGTCTTCGTCTTCCTCGTTATCCTTCATACCAGCAAAGCCTGGCTCCTCTTCACTAGGTAAGACTGAAGATAGGTAAAGATCACCTATCCATTGAGATACCATTCCACGCAGCCTAAGCAATTCGTGGCTATCCGAGAAAGGAGGAGAAACGAGCAAATCATCCATCTGTCTTGCAATCTGGTGAGCATCTTGGAGTTCTTTAACACGAGCGTCAATGGTGGCTTTTTTATCATCCGACGGCTTCTCATCCCTCTCCGTATATTCCTCCATTTTTGTATCAGGATCTGTGTAATCATTGCTGTCAGCAACAGACGCACCGGGGCTGTGAGCTAGGTCCCCAGCCTCCCTAGCCAGGCGGCTCTCTTCTTGGGACACTGATATCCACAACCCAAACATGGCTGGATAGAAATGTAATGAGCTTAGCGCGTTCGGCGCTGCCTTACGATACTGATACTGGATAATCAGTCTTTCGTAGTATTCCTTTGCTCGCTGAAACCCTTCCCTTGTAAACCATACCCTATCACCGTTGATTTCAGGGTTCCTGTTGCTCGTATCTGCGGGTTTACTGGCATTTGAGCCAGTCTGTAGTAGTATCTCTGCTCCAGTGGCCCACCTCCCTGAGTTCCTCACATCTACCGGGTGTCCACCAAAGTTATCTCGAAGAATCAGACCCAGAGCCCTCCCAGCACGGAGATAGTCTCCTTCCATTAGACAGCGATGTAAGATGGTTGTCACAACGCTCGAATGATGAAGCCGTAGAGTATTTTTCTTTGCAGGGTTACCACCTGCTAAGTATATTGGTGGATTCAATTGAGATAGCTCGGCCTCTATTCGTTGTCTGTTATTTAGAGATTTGGCGCTCTTCCGTTTTGTGGTCAAAGTGCTTCCCCCATCTTGGTTACCGTCGGATTCATGATCACTATCAAGGAAATCATGGTCGTCCAAATCAGCTTTATGGGGAAATTTACCACCTGGCAACTCGCGATACGTTGGAAGCCCTGAGATCCTATATTGATGTGCCTCTCCAGGAGATAAGACTAGTGGTATTCTAGGGCTTGTCTGGCGTTTCTCCCGTTGTTTATTCTTCAACTCAGGCTCGCTTTGTATCGCGCTGTCTGTTCCATATCCATCACTGCCCTCTTGGTTCGAATCTTCGTTGTCGTGGCCATGTTCCTTTTGAAGTCTTCCTCGCTGCCTCAGGTGTTCGTACTTGGCTGTCCGGTAGCTCACAGGCTGCTGCCACAACGGCAGTGGGAGGGCAAAATATGATGCAGCTTGCTCTGAATATGCATTAGTCGACATAAAGAGCAGGGCTTCCCTATGATATACCGGGAACGTCAAGGTGCTGAAACTACCACGAGCTCCGTCATCAATTGTACCACCTCGCAGAGGGAGCGCAAAAAGCTCTTTTCCGGCTTCTGTCGTTGTCAGAGCTCATCAGTAGTGTTTCCCTTGACGGCTGGAGGGCAGCCCGAAAAAAAATATTATCACGTGACTATACAACTGCGCGCAGCAAGGGAGTCGTAGGCATAGGAAAATTGATAAGAACAAGAAATAAATCGAGGAGTAGAAAATGATGGCTGTAAAGTCCTGCATCTGTATCAAATCTACTTATCTATCGCCTTATACTCGAAGATATATGTCGCTATATAGGTTACATCTCCGTATTTCATCAATCGCCCCGTAGCTAGTTTATAACAACGGTGGCCTGCCCCTGCCTTCGTGCTAAATCGGCCTTTAAGGATAAAGTGA